TCTCCTGGACGTTTCCCTCTCTCATCTCGACGGTTCAGGTACTGACACATGGTTAGTCCTCCATCGAACCAAGACCTGTAAACATTCTCAGGCAATGTTGACATAAACTTTATCAAATGATCCCTTAGTACTTTATGATATTCTTCGGTGCCACAGATATTGTAACTAATTGACTATTATAAAAAACAATTCCCAATCTCCTCGTATAGAAACAATACCGCTACTACAAGGTGTCTTCAAAGGGACATTCCTCTGCTCCATATTGTGGTATTCTTTAACATTAATGATTTCATTTTCATTTTGGGCTATACCTGTTACCATGCTGGCCACATTCGATTGATCTTCCCGCGTAAAAGGGTCAAAAATGAAACCTCCTTCACTATCCCAGGCCCCTGTTTCCTGTACATCCTGGTCATCAACTGGCTCCTCCCCACTTACCTCCACCTCCATGAGCATTTCAGTCTGGCTCCTGTACTCCTGACTCTACTTCCTGTACTGACTCTACCTCTGCTTGCTTGTCATCCTGCTGGCTGGGTTGCTTCTCCGTTTTTGCTTCTTCCTTCCATGCACTCAACCTCTCAGTCAATTTTTTCTTCTTACGTCTAGGCATTTCTGAAACGTTTAAAATACCAGAAATTACAGGTATGTGTTAATTCTGCTGACTAGAGATCCTTTTACCTTATAAAAAATGTAGGAATACATACAATTATGACGTGAATAAAATTCAGGAGCCATGCACAAGTTTGTAAGATTTTTATTACGACCACAGAGCAAAGAAAGCACACCATCAGATTTACGAGATTTTTTTATCACCACCTCAAAATTCAGTCAAGAAAGTTCAAATAAAGTTACATAATCCGTGAACCGGCAAAGGAAAGCCCCACATTTACAACTATAAGGTTGTGTTGAACCCATATTTCTGCTACATTTCTCCGTTTCCCTAGCGAGAGATCGCCCCCCTCCCTCATATCGTCCAAAAACAAAGAAAAACACTGGTCAAAATCCTCTATAATCAGTAAACCGACAAACCGAAGGCACACGTTTACAACCACAATGTTGAGTTTAAGCCATTTTCATGTAATCACTTACCGCAAATAAGGTATTACCCCGGTACTACAGCCGTCAACTTCAACATTTAGAACGACAAACAAACCGGATGTTACAGTTCGCGCGAGGAATGGTGGGATTTTTCTCGGGGCCTGCATGCCGTTTTTCGTAAGGCGTAATCAGGCCTTTTCAGCTTCATAATACGTAGACAACCTCCCAAAAATCAACGTAATCCGTAACAGAACAGTAGCTGCAAAGCGTAAAGTAGTTATAAGGTCTGAGACTTTAACGTAATTCGTAATATTGGCGGCGAAAATTTTGCATAATCCGTAATCACTATCCCCCATGCAGGCCCTCTTCACTATACTTCTTGTGTCTTGTTTTTGTTTTTGGCCCGCGGGCGCCCGCGCTAATTAATGTCCTTATTACAATGTATTACAGCACCCACATATCCCTACGTGCACAAACAATGGTCTATAGGAGGAACTCTGACTATCCACTTCTTACCTGATGATATTTCCTGCTATTTGACGCACAATATACTGCCAGTCACTGGCGAGAACCTGACGCTGGCAGCAGAAGTCGTCTGCAGACAACCGACGTAAAAATGATCACGTGAGGCCTATGACCAATCAGCGTCAGCGGAAGAAATTCGCGGGAGATTCGAAAAGCGTTCTATGATTGGTCTGCGTCAGGTTGATGCTTTTATGCCCATATTTGGGCATGCCTCTGAATTCCTTTCTTATTACGTCACGCGCGTACGTCCTCACAGTACTTTCCTATGGGGACCACTAAAAAGCAAATAAAACGATTGTAAAAGCTTGTATCAAAAAAATTTAAAAAACGCCTAAGGGTATTTACCCACTCTACCTCTATACGAAATTTCAGGTAATTTCGCCCAAAAATGAAGGAGTTGAATCAATTTAAAGAAGTGGCAGGAGAAGAAGAAGGAGAAGGAGAAGGAGAAGAAACATCAGAAAAAGCAGTATTTCACTCCATACTGAAGTATGGAGTGAAATAATAACTTTGGTGTAATTATGACGTCATATGACGTCAGAGCTAATAATATAGTCCGCCATATTGGATTTTGACCAATGACGTCATCAAATTAGCATATTCTATGCATATTAAATGATTTAAACTTATGTTTAATTATGTAAGATGTTATTAATGTCTGAAAAGAAGTGTAATTTAATATAAAACTCCGAAAATTTTTATGTTTAAACCAAAATTACTTCTATTTTTAAAAAAATTGCCTGCTAGAAACCCGTTGCAATGGCAACACAAAAAAACATCAACTTACTAGTATAAAACTTATATGAACTTTTTTCCAGAGACATTTTAAGAAAGGTCTCCAAATTTGATACTTCTAGCGCAAGCCGTTTAGCCGCTATCTGAGATCAAAGTTGGGCCTCAAAAGCCCCTTAAGTCTGAAATGGGTTTAAAAATCGGGTATTTCTTCTTGTCTTCTTTCCTTCACCAAAAAATAGAAAAAGTTCAAAATGTATGATTTTTGTATGTAATGTGGACACAGAGGTTCCCACATCAGTTTGCAAAACAATTGAGCTGGTAGCATGTTGATAATTTATAAAATTTAGCAAAAAACTGTTCTGGGGTCCGCGCGGACCCCAGGTGTACAGATTAATCAGTCCGGGAAGGTGTTCTGTTGAGGGTTAAGCTGAAAGGTAACCTTTTATCCGTTAGGAAGGAAGAAAACGCCACACGTATGTTATGTGCTCTACTTCTAGCTTGTTACTGTAGTTAATTCAGTTAGCGAATATTCAACCTGTATTCATCGCATTAATTTCTTCGGTTGACTTAAAAAACGGATATCAGTACAAACATAAAAAAGAAAGCCCCATGAAAAAACCCCAAAATGCCAAACATAATCCCAAACCCAATACCCTGCTAACAGAGTAAGAAAGTAGTACTTCAGACGGAGTGAGAAGCTTTTTTACATTATAGAGCTAAGTAGTACGAAAGAAGAAGTACGTTACTA